CTTGTTACTGTGTCTGGCATATTGAACATGTCAGAGGTATCTTGCCAGGCTTTGCTGTGTGGGCGAGATACTCTTGGTAGCTTGCAGGGCTCTCCGAGAGGGGTGAAGGAATCAAAACCAGCTCGGCCAGGCTGACTGCGTGCAAGGCAAACGCCCTACCACTGTGCTATCGCTCCAGCCCAAAACATCTACTGTGTATACATATATATGTATATGAAAAGTCTGGTACATAAAAATGCCATAAAATATCACTTTTTTTGTAAATATGCTATTTAAAAAAATCACTATCCATTGTTCATTCATTTGCTTGAGCGGGTGCCAGTAATGTCTCCACTCATCCAGGTCACATGCTAGTGTAGCCCAATGGCATATTGGGCTAATTTTAAATTTTTATTTAAAATTTATTAAATTTTAAAATTTTTCTAATTTAAGAAATAGGAAAAAAAACATATCCACAAGGGAAAAATTCACACCATAAAATGTACCAGTGTCCCAACATTTTTTAATACTAAGAATTTCATTGCAAACTGTTATATCGAAAATAACCTTGTTAACCAAAAACTGAAGATGCTTTAGAGGTATTTATTTGGAAGGCTAACCAAAGTATAAATTTATGAAATATGGCAAGAAGGACTTTAGGCAGTACTCAGTAAACCATATGCAGTAGTGGGATGCAACTGGGACTGGCTACAGGCAAGGCAAATGCTTTACAGGTCCATTTTATTACTCTGGCCCAGTCTGCAAATTTAACTCCTCTATGAATATTTACTAGTTCATGAAAAGTTCCAGAAATTCATTTACCTACAAAAAAGGAACAAAAATTAATTTATAAAAATTAAAAAATAAGTAGCAGAAACTGATTTATCTACAAAAAGGAATTTGATATGCTAAAAGCAGTAACAAGTCTCACAATGGAGACACTACTGGTGCCCGCTTGAGCAAATCGATGAACAATGGGAGGAGAGTGCTACAGTGCTACAAAAAGGAACAAACTTTCTGGGGTCCAAAAGGATTCCCATTTGAAGAGAATCTAGTCAGCAGGGGGTCATACAGAACATTTTGCAGAGAACTATCTGCAGCTGCCTTAAAAGCCACTTGGCTGAGCAAGCAGCCGCAGTACTTCTTTCTTAGCAGCAGGACTAGAGGAACCGACAGAGCACACAAGAAAGCTGGGTGAATGCTTAGTGCTTGGTTAGCTCTTGGGACTGTTTGGTAGCAGGGTAACGGGGTTGGCTGGCTCCAGTTATTTTCATGGGATATTGAAAAGACTTGTTTTGATCTCCAACTTTCAAAAGATTCATATTGTCTTCATTAGCCTGGAACTGTTACCTTTAAAGAATTTTGGGTCAAGGTAACAGCTCAATGGGATTTACTCATGTTTTGCATGCAAGAACCTTGAAGTCAATCCCTGACACCACAAACATCCACTGCAGAGGTCCATCAGAAGTGGCTTCTGAGCACTGCACCAGAAGCAGCACCCAAGCATTAATGTGTATGACCCAAATCAGAAGAGAAGTTAGCTTACACACACACATACACACACACACACAAAATTTTTGGTTTGACCCTTGACAACAAACTAATAAAGTTTCTTGAGACTCAGTGGTTCTCAAAACACATGGGCAATCAAACAAAAACTACTGGTTAAAAAATTGATTATACAGAGAGTTTGACATAAAAAATAATAGTTTTACTACAAGATCATAAATATCGGCATGAAAATTGTTTCTAATAAATCTACTTTCCAAACTTAAAACAAATTCTATTCAAATTTCTATGAAAGAGCCCAAACACTTAAAATCTCTGTATATTTAAAAAAAAAACAGATCTGATAAAATTTCAAGATAGAGTAATTTTTAGCTATTTACCTTAGGTTTTCAGACCACAGTCAGGATACTCAGAGCTTACTACTGACTCTGTGCTCAGGGGTCCACACAGGGTGCTAGGGATTGAACCAGTGTTAGTTGCAGGCAAAACAAGTGCCCTGCCTTCTGTATGATCTCTCTCCTAAGGTAAGAGTGTCTTTTAGACACTACAGATATTTTTGGAGGTCCTGAGGATTAAAATCAGGGCCTAAAACAAGCAAAGTATGAATCCTTACATACCCTTAAGCCAAATTCGATCCAAATGGAGCATCTCTTAAAAGTGATCCTTGGGACCTAAGAGATAATACAGCTTGCCTTGCATGCAGCCAACCTGGGTTCAATCCCCCCCACCCCACACCACATACAGACATATGACTCCCCATTAGCACCAACAGGTGCTATCCCAGGGTACAGAATTAGGAATAAGGACTGAACACAGCTGGGTGTGTCCCAGAAATCACTAGGAGGCAAAAAAGCGACCCTCAGCCTAGGAAAATGACTCAAGGGACTAGAGTATGTGCCTTGAACGGAGAAGCCTCAGTTTCAATCCCCTGTACATTCTGGTCCCTCTAGCACTGGGTTCTTGCCCCCGAGAACCAAGTGTGGTCCAAAAACTAAAAGGAGAAAGAAAAAGAGTGATTGTTTCTCCTTGTTGTTGTTTTTTGTTTGATTTTTATGGCACTATACCTGGGCACAATACAGTGGCTCACACCTGAAAGTGGTTTTGAACACAAATTGCAGCATTGGTATCAATGTGTTTAAAAAAAAAAAGTACATCAGAGTACTTAAGAGACTCACTGCTCAAAAAGTACATTCTTGTTATTTGTGAGGAAAAAAAATGTTTAATTCATAATTTTAAGATTATACATACAAACAAATCAACCTTATGTAGCTGATTAAACTTCTAATGACCCTTTAAAGAATTTTTCTAGATCTATTATTATGTGTATATGTGTACAATATCTATCATGCTATTGGCTTACTGAAAACACATTCTAGCACGTGGTGCCAAATTTCTGCCTTTCAGTCCATTCCTCCATTTTCCATCTTCATTATTAGCCAACTCCTCACTCACCAAGAACATCTATTCTCTTTGGACAGTGCTACAGTTTATTGGCAGATTAAGGAACTGCTGATAGATAATATAACAAATTCCTCTCAACACGACTCTGTTCATTTCAGACACAGTATCCACGGTTTATGCTTTTAAAAAATTTAATGTTCTTTCCTTTCTCTTAACATAGTGTTCAGCTATGAGTTGCACTGGCTCAGTGAATTATGACTAGAAAATCAGAACTTTAATCTATATTCTAATAGTAGAAAACAGAACTAACTTTCTAAAGATGTAAAGTAACACACCACAGGATATAGGCTATACAAATTGAAGTATGAACACAAGAGTAGTCATGAGCAAAATAATAAAGCTTTTAAAACAAAAAACATAAACCACAGGAGAACAAGTTTTCTTTTTTTAACACTATGATATATAAATCTTAGTGAAACTCACAAAATTATTCACTTAATTGGTACACTAAATCAACAATCTGAAAAATGCCAACAATAACTTAAAGTTTATTACTTTAAAGAAAACTAAATATGTACAACTGATTTCTCAAACTTAAGTTACTGAAATTTTGTTTATTTTATTCTGTTTCTGTGGTTTCTGGCCCACACCCTGTGATGGTCGTAGGCTACCCGTGACTGGGAGCACAGGGGGTCAGTTCTGGAGTAGCTGTGTGAGGCCATGCTGTAGGGGGATGGAGCTCCAGGCTCTCACATGTGAAGCACTGAGCTCTCTGTAGCTCCATTTACTAATGTTTACCTTTATTCTTCAAATAAAAACTTTTTTGAATTTAAGAAATGTGACCAAGAATTGGAACAAATCAAGTTTTTGATGGGCAATGATATCTGGTAAAAAAAAAAATTCCTTATAGTTAGAACAATTCATGATAAGTAAAAACTACCAATAACTGTATAAATGTCAGAAATTTCAAAGGAATCACTATTTGGAGCCAGAGTGAAGGTATAGTGTGTAAGACACTTGCCTTATATATAGCCAAACCCAGGTTCGATCCCCAGCATCCCATATGGTCGAGCCCACCAGGAGTGATTCCTGAGCTCAGAGCCAAGAGTAAGCCCTGATGTGGGATGTGGTCCAAAAACCAATTTAAAAAAATCCTTAATTTTATTATACCTAAATCAAAATGACTTAGAAATAAAAATAAAAGCAATAGTAATAACACTAGATATAGTTTCCGTTTGGTTCGCGTTTGGCCTACTTTTCTCTACTACTAGCACATTATGGCAGAGGGTTAAAAATTAAAATCAAATTTCCCGTATAAATATATAGCACTAAAATTAAAGTTCTTCCTCTAAACCAATATCTTATTTTAGATGGGATAAGTAAAATTAAAATCAAACATTTAAAACATTAATATACCAGACAAAAACAAAGGCTTTATATTAACCTAGAGTATCTGTCTTGGACACAGAGAGCTCAGGGAGCTGAACGCATGCTTTGCATTGGGGAAGATGGGGTTTGATACCCTGCACCACATGGTCTGAGCACAAGGAGTCAGAGTAGTCCCAAGCACTGCTACATGGTGAAGCACAGTGGGAAGGCTTGCAAGCAGCAGTGGAACTGGTTTCTGTTCCCAGCACCCCAGCTGGTCCCCTAAGCAACAGCAGAATTAACACTGAGCAAAGAGCCAGGAGTAAGTCCTCAGCACAGCTGGGCATGCCCCCAAATAAATAAAAGATAAAGCAAAATAAAAACTTAATTAAAATGCGATTCATTCTATATTTTGCTCTGACAGTTTGGCTAATACAAGTGATACATTTTTATTTTTAATGTTTAAATATATAAAAAAATATAATACAAAGTCTTTATTATGCTAAGTTCATCAGGCCAGTTCAAGTTCAAGACATGGGCAATTTTCAAAGACTATGCAATGTCAGAATAAGTCATGGCCAGACAGACATTACACTCCTGATTATGTAATTTCTTTTTAAGAGCACAATATTAAAGTTTCATATATTCCAAAAACTGCTTGAAACAGTTCTAACCAGGTAAGTCAGGTAGACATTACACTCATGTCTATAATATGTTATAACTCATAACTTAAGAATTCTTACCTTTTATATCTGCCCGAAACAGTTCTAGATGGCTCCTGTAAGGTAAAAATGATGATGTATCAGTTTGGGTCTGTGTGCAGGCATACAATTCCAAAATCTCACAAGACAATCTTGAAGCAAATTTGAAGCAGTTATAGTTTCTTTTAAAAAGTCACACTGTCAAATAAAACATTCTGAAACTGATTTTTCAGATGAACCCAATGACTTAAGAAATTTTAACTTCAAAGTATATTTAAGTTCTTAAAAGGGACAAAAGAAACATTAATCATCAACCTGTTTGCTTACATAATTCTGGAATTCCATAAGCATTAAGAAAGTCATCTTTTTCTTTTTTTGAGTCATATCCGACAGTGCAAGACTTCCTGGGGCACTGTACGTGATAGTGGGGATCAAACCTGGGTCAGCTGCATACAAAGCAAAAGCATGACCCACCATAATGTCTCTTCAGCTCTCAATGTTTAACCTACTTCCAAGGCTATTTTTATGCCCTCAATTTTTTAACCAAAAGAACAGGCAATGATTCAGGGGCGCGGTATAAGGTTCAGTGGTAGGACACAGGTTATGTATGCTGGGACCCTGGATTGGGTCTCTAGCATCCCTCAGTACAAAAATTTAAGAGGAATTCAGAAATTTTTTCACAGTTAGGCCCTGGTTCAATTCATAACACCCAGTGCCCGACCCTCCCAAAGGGTAAAGATAGTTAAAAAAGTTTTAAAGTCAGAAAATGGCAACAGGAAAACAGTTGAAAGGGCTAATGCACATGCTCTGCATGAAGAAGGTCCAGTTTTGAACCCCAGTACCACATGGTCTCCTAAGCACCACCATAAGTGACTCATCCCCCCGCAACAAGATGGGAATAGCCTCTGAGCGTGGCCCAAAAATATGGATAGCACAGTGGTAGGGCGTTTGCCTTGCATGCAGCCAACATGGCCGACTCGAGTTCAATTCCTCTGCCCCTCTCGGAGAGCCCGGCAAGCTACCGAGAGTATCTCGCCCGCACGGCAGAGCCTGGCAAGCTACCCGTGACGTATTCGATAAGCCAAACACAGTAACAACAAAGTCTCCAATGGAGACGTTACTGGGCCCACTCGAGCAAATAAAAAACAAATAAAAATTTAAAATAAGCTAGGGAAAAAAAGGTCATTTTTAATGCCTATTTTATTATACAAAAAAGTGGGGAAGGGAAGCTGGGGCCCAAGAGATAGTACAGGTAAGTTAAGAACTTGCCTTGCATCCCACTAATCCCAGTTCAAATCCTTCGTACCACATATGGTCTCCTGAGCACAGAAGCAGGAATACCCCTGAGCAGTGCTTGGGTATAGACCAAATCACCTTCCCCAATGCCAAATATGCTGAAAATTTAATATTAACTACTGCACCGGGAAATACATGTCCTTGCAACCAACCAGGCCGTCACTTCTCTCTGATCCTGGCTAGGCTTGACAAATATTTTTACAGTTTTATTTAGTAAAGAGTCCAAATTAAATGATGAGTTCTTTAAAACAGTGTAGCTTCTTTTATTGCTGTTAATTACTATAAGTCTCCAAGAAAGGGCTGAAAAAAATAGTCCAGGAATAAGCCACTTTTGCATAAGTTGGCCTTGGTTCAATCCCCAACTCTACATATGGCTTCTCACAAGCACTATTAGGGTTTAGCCCTGAAAACCTTTGGGTATGGCTTAGATATTGCCCAAACCAGCCTCCTCCCCAAAAGTCTCCAAGAGAGATTTTACAATTAAAAAGTACACATAAAAAGTGGCCCAGTGTGAGTCAGAACAATCTCCCTTTTTAAACTGATCAGACCCAGAGTGAAAGCAGCATGTTCTCACCGCATGGGGTACTGAAGGGAAACAGTACAGCAAACCATTTGGGTAGGAGTACTATTTAGACCCATGCTTGAACCAGACAGGACACTCAGTTGCTCTGAAATTGGGTAAATTATTTCTTATTCTAAGTTTCTTCATCTATAAAATAAGAGTAACAGTTATTTTGGAGATTATTAAATGACACAAGTGAGTTGAAACCATTAATTAGCACAACTCTTGCTGACATTTCCTTGCTGCTTCACCATCCCAGGTGAGGCATGCCTCTGGGTGACATCACTGGGTCTATTCCAGAACTGCGGACAGAACCCTTTCCTACCGGCTTGGTGCCAACAGCCTCAACACCAGACCCATGCCACTCTAAGGGTGGCAGCTCCTAAAGCACGCAACCTATCTACTCAACACATTACATGTGGCTCATTGTTATGCTTCCTGTCACTCTCTGAGGACAGGCAGAGAATAAATGAGCAGCTTAATCCCTCAACATCTTCCATGGGTCAACTAGAGTAAAGACTCATGCCAGCACAGCAAGGACACTAAAAAAAAAAAATGGGGAAAACATGTAGAAGCCTACCACATTCAATGAGAGACAACAGTATCATCAAAGACATAAACTCCATCAATAAATCCTGCAAAGCACAAGTATGAGTCAAAATGAAAAAACAACTAGTCGGAAATGATAGAAATGAAGAACATGGTAGGTGACATTCAATAGTTAATAGAAGCCCTACATAGCAGAATAACAGAACCTGAGCAAAAGATTGAGGAGCTCCAAGCTAAGGAGGAATCCGCTACGAAATAGCAGAAGGTAGGAAAAAAACATCTAGAAAGAAATGAATGGCATACCAGAGAACTATGGGATGAGTTCAAGAGGAACAATATAAGAACCAAAAAAAAAAAATCCCTGAAGAACATGAAGGCAAATGGAATGAAGAAACAATTAAGGAAACAATTCATAACAACTTCCCAGAGTTAAGGATTATAGTCACAGAGCTCCATGAGGCCTTGAGGATCTCAGTGAAAATAGACCTGATTAGGAAAACACCCAGTCACATTATACTCAAAACGATAAAATCCAAAGACAGAGAGAAAATACTAAATGTGGCAAGACCAAAAATGGAACATATACAAAGGAAAGCCTAAGATGTACAGCAGATCTATCAAACGAGACTCTACAAGCCAGAAGAGTGTGGAAGGATGTAGTACAAAAAGTCAAGGAAATGAACACCGCACCAAGAATACTCTATTCATCTAGATTACCATTCAGATTTGAAAGAACTATAAGTAGCTTCATGGATGGCCAACAGCTTAGGGGATTCACAGTCTCCAAACCAGTTTTGCATGAAGCATTGAAAAAGCTCCTTTAAGGGAGTGTCACTCAGTTTGCACTAATGGTGCAAACAGTTGTCCTCTACTAGATTAGGAAATGTTAAAAAAATGCAATTAATCACAAATTACGTGTTACTGATTTGTTTTCTGATAATTCTATTTGCCAATCATTTAAGTTCTACTGGAACAAGTAAATATGAAATAAGTTTGTTATATGTCTACCAAGGGGGAAGGCTGTGGGGTGGGTGGGAACCTGGGGATATTGGTGGAGGGAAGGGGACACTGGTGGTGGGCTTGGCATTGGAACATTGTATGACTGAAACAACTCTGTTATGAACAACTTTGTAAGTCATGGTATCTTAATAAACATTCCTGGGTAAGAAAAATAATGCCAATCTTTTACAGTAAGCACACGAAACTTCCAGAACTCAATTCTCCACCATGCTCAAGGCCGATTTCCACAAGCTCAAATAAGTCTCATCCATGAGTGAATGTGCTGAAAAGATCAGGCATGCAGGTTTTGTGACCAAAATCTCCAGGCTCTGATGATAACCCCCCACCGCCACCCCAAATCTCCCTGTTCTTCTGAGAGCCTGGTAGTCATGCCCACAAACTGCCTCCGGTGCCATGTAAGCTCATTAACAGCCATGATCAGAGAGACTCACAAATAAACCATGGAAGAGAGCAACACACCACAGAGATGCTGCTGAACCCCAAAATCACCTTTCAGTTTAAAAATTAACTCCACCTCTATCATCCTATTTAAAATTTTAGAATTCCTGGTGTGCGGCTGTAACAACTCATACTCTATCCCATTGATGATATGCAGCACACCACAGTTGATGGTGTGTGTGTGTGTGTGTGCGCGCGCATGTATGCGTGTGTGTAAGCATATATATATGTATATTAGCGCAGAAGGCCCACCTTTCACATGTTAGTAATCTCTTATATAAGGGGCTTAGTGGCTCCAGAGTAAAATACAATCATCTTCACAGACTTTCCTCTAAGGAAACTTTTTTTGGATGATTGGATCATTTTTAGTGGAATATTCATAATAAGCAGTACAAAATAAATTATTTAGGTCATGCTTTGAATGCAGGCTTTGGAGGTTGGGGCGGGAAAATTCTAAATATGGTAGCAGGATGGTGTAATGGTGATGGGATTGGTGATAGAATATTGGATATAATAAATTATTTTGAACTACTTTATACAAATAAAATAAAACATTTAAAAAAGTTAGCTAATTTTTAAAAACTAAAAAACTCTGGGTTCTGGTGCAATTTTAGCAAATCTCTCTTAATTATTCTAAGGTAATAAATTCTCATATCATATTAAGTCATTTAAATACAACTTTATTTGGGGCCAGAGCAATAATACAGGAAATAGGGTACTTGCCTTACATACGACTGACCTGGGTTCGATTCCCAGGACCCCACATGGTCCCCTGAATAGATCGAGGAGCGAATCCTGACCATGAAGCCAAGAGCAAGCCCTGAGCACAGCAGGGTGTGACCCCAAAATCAAATAAACATAGCTTTACTCCATTTTTCATGAATGTCTTATTTCCTATGTAAAAGGCGACCTTCATGAAGAAATGAAAAAAATCTAAAATAAAACTAGATAAGAAGGAAAAAACCCTTAAAATTCTAATTCAATGATTATCAGTTTGGAGAGTGAAACAAAAACTTTCCAATGAACATCAAGTCTGGAACCAGGTGGTTTCATTCATGAATAATACCAGGCTTTCTCGGGAGGGAACATTTCCAAATTCATTTTATGAGTTATCTCGAGCATTATCTTGACACTGAAGTCAGACAAGGACATCAGAAGAAAATTTCAGGTCAATACCCTCATGAACAGATACCAAAAAATCCTCAACAAAGT